AGCTTGCCCTTTAGGATTTGGTTGAGGTTGTCCAGGGAATTATCCTCCAGGTGTAGCTTGTGGGGCTTGTGTTTAGGCTATCTGCGAGATCTGGGTTTCAAGCATCTTGTTATGCATAATTATCTGATCAACCTTAGTTCCTAATTGCGTGATTAGTTAGTTTACGTGAATATTATGATTTAGGAACTCTTTGTTTTGCTGGGTTTGAGCTGAAATGAAATTTTCCATGATTTTCTCAAGGTTTGGTTTGGGTGCCACAACTTGCATAGGTTAATTTGGTCTTTGGGCTTGGAAGCCTGTAGGTCTCAGAGGTGCAGAGTTTTGTATTGGGCTATTGATTTTATAAGAAAAGTTTGGGTGATTCCTCTATCCGAGGTTGTAAGTGTTTGAAAATGGGTTTCCTTGGGTGTAGTTTACTTGGTCTGAGCAAGGCTCATTCAACAAGTTACATTCCGCGGGTTGATGTCCTTGGGTCCCACAGAGTTCGCATTCTAAAGCTACTGCGGCTACAGTATTAGGGTTTTGAGACATGTTTTGAACTTTTAAGGTAAGAGCGTCCATTTTAACTTGCATCATGTCTAGAGAACTTATCTCATGTTTTCCTCCTTGGGTCTCCTTTTTCTCTACTGTAGCTCGTTTTGTTCCCCATTGGTAATGGTTTTGGGCTATGTCCTCAATGAGAGCGCATGCTTATAGGTAAGGTTTATTCATTAATGCGCCACCAGCGGCAGCATCGATAGACATCTTTGTGTTGTAATGGAGTCCATTATAGAAGGTGTGGATGATTAGCCATTGTTCTAGGCCATGGTGTGGACAGGCTCTTAACATGTCTTTATATCTCTCCCATGCTTCAAAAAGTGATTCTCCCAGGTTTTGGTTAAATCTAGTGATTTGGTTTCTAAGGACAGTGTTGTACCCCAAAATTTGCCCTCTCATTTTACTCAATACATACTTCTAGAGATCCTCAATTTGCTCAAGTTTGCCCAAGAGTTGACCAGACAAACTCTCTCCTAAGGTAGTGTGTCTCAAATTAGGGTTTCCATTTTCATCAATATAGGTGAACTCCAAAGACCTCATATGCTCTCCATGGTCCTAATATGTTCTCAAGACCCTCCATGTCAAATTTCAAGCACTACACAAGAAGTTTGCTCAGTCAACTGCTCAGATGCTTGAGAATCGACTATATTAGGTCAAAAGTCAATTGTGGCCCACATACAGCCAAACTTCAAGATTTTTTGTCAACATTAACATTTTAAAGTGATATCCATCATTTGATCAAGGGTTTATCATGATTCTTCAAGGAATTCCCTAAATTCATCAAAACCCAAAATTTGCAAAACTAAGGTTTCTTAGGAAAAGTCAACCAAACTTTGACCAAACATAACTTCCACATACTTTATCAAAATTTTTCCACACAAGGCTCATTTTGAATATTATGTAATTCCATACAACTCATCTTCAGCCCACAAGTTCAAAATATGCACTCATAAAAAGATATGAATTTCTACATTATAGGTCCTTTTGAAAAGTCAACAAAAAACACCTTTTGGGTCAAAGCTTCTTACATGAACATGGAAGACCTAATTAAAATGAGACCAAAAGGGTTGCTTAGGGGACATCCTAAACTTTCTAAAAAGTCCAAGAACACCTCTCTAGCGTTAAAATTGGAGGAGATATGCCTTGTCAAAGTTGACCTTTTTTACAAAATTGTCAAAAGTCAAATATGCTCAAAAGTGCATTTTTTACCAAATGGGCTTAGCATTTCATGATTTCACCTCACTTATAGCATGGCCCACGACCCAAATGTTTACTCATATGTTATTTGCTTCATTATTTATTTTATTTTTATTTTTTATTTATTAAAAATTGAATAAAATCAAATAATTGGTAAATAATATCAAAGATATGTTTTGATATGATTTTTGGACAAATTCTCAATCAAAATATGCTGAAATATCAAGATAAAATCGCATCAAGCATGATTGTTACAAAAATGGGATAAATTGGCTCAATTTAGAAAGTTTGCATATGGCTAAAGAATCAAATCAAATCTCATCAAAACTTCAAGATCCAATCTGTTTTGAAATCCTAATTCATTGAGGGATATATAATGAACAAGAACAAAGCATGAAACAAGGGTTGGCAGGCGTGAAAATAAAAAAACAAAGTTCCAAATTTTCCAAAAAAAGTGCAGATTGGATCTTGCTCTATAGGCCATTTCAAGCGTTTCTAAGGATCAAGTCGTACTCCTAGGCACTCACTGAACCTGTAGCAAGCATTTGCAGGACCTGAAACCTCCAGAATCGTGTTCTATCACGTCCACGGTTTGTACTTTTCCTTGAGTTTCGTTTTCATGGATTCTGACATTATCAATATGTTTTAAATACATATTCATGCTTATGATCATGTTTGCAAGGTGTTTGGATTGTTTAATTTGAATTTGAGTGCAGAAATTTGAGGACGCCATTACTAGGGTTCATAAACTCATAATTGGGGTTTCCTCTTTCAGGACAAATTGAGAAGAATTTTGGACACCATTAAACTCAGGACTCAACCCCTGATTGATCCCTAACATTGGTTTTAATTTATATTGCCTATATCATATATTTGAATTACACAGGGTTTTAGCTACAAAAAAAATCCGTCACTATAGCTTATAGTGACGGAAAACAGCCGTAGGCAAAAGTCGGTGGCCTAAAGCCACGGATCAGCAAAGAAGACGATGGCGTGGAGGTGACGAATTGGTCCGTTCAAATAAATGCGGCCCATAAAAGGGCACGCGCGTGGCAGCTAGGCTTAGTGCTTTGTTTGCTTTATATTTATTTTATTCAACTAGGTACATGAATGACTAATCAGCGCAGTTGGCAAGGAGGGGGATATGTGAAGCAAGGGACCTGGGTTCGATCCCAGGTCCAAACATTTTCTTATTTTCTCAACTGCCACTAACATACCAGGTACATCAAGCTTGCACATGCTCACCATATGCCATCACCATCCAACCAATGGATGCATCCCATGCCCAGATCTAGCAGGACCATGGTGAACCATCAAGCGCCTGCACCACTGGATCCAGCGTTGACTTGGGCCACCAACCTTGGACCCAAGGTCAGATTCAGGGTTGCACCCCCCAGATTTGCTACTCAACACATGCCCATTTACTTTTCTTTATTTATTTACTTTATTTAATTATTTTGTTTAATTATTTTTCCATAAAAATTTATTACTTTTTTTATTAATCATAAAATCAACAAATCACAAAATCACAAAAAGATCATTTTTTATATAAAATATTTACTTTAATTTAATTAGAAAATTAAGTTAATTTAATTTACTTTTTTTATAATTAAAAAAAATTAGAAATTAGGGTTTAATTAATGTGCAATTAAATTCTTTTCTCAAATAAAAAATGTACAAAAATATTTTTTTGTCAATTAGGGTTTTAGGTTTTTTTTAAGCGTCCTCGTATTTAGTTCGCCGCACGTTTAATTATTTCTTTTTCATTATTTTTGTAACTGCCAATGGTTTGTAATAGTTAAACTAGGTTTTTTCATTTATCGCTTTATCCCCGATTTTTGGTTATGTAATTAATCCCCTCCCCCGAAGCCCTGTAATAACTAGGTTTATTTTCTCGCAGGCATGGAGCTTTTAAGGAATGCATTTGGGAAATCGCCTCCTTAACTTCTTCGACATAAAATCTCCTATCACAAACTTGGATATGATCTTGGCTAATCCTATTTTTAACCCCATCACAGAGATGAAAAGCACCTTCAGAACCAGACGAAACGAAAACCTCATTAAAATAGGTAATAAAAACTCTTCCAATATCCTCTTCATCTTTCCACCAAAACCCCTACTCATCTTTTATCTTCTGAATAGAGTTAACTTTCCTCCTTTGGTTTGATTTGGCGTGGAAAAATTTTGAGTTTCTGTCACCCTCTTTTAACCACAGGCCCCTACTTCTTTGTCTCCACATTACCTCCTCATAAGCAAGAAGGTCATCCATTTGCTTTGTGAGGTCTCTCAAAATTCACATCTTGTCTTTTCTGATAGCCTAAAGGTGGTTAACCTCCTTCAGCTTTCCCTCAACCTTAGTAATCTCCTTTCTGAAGTTATTACTTCTATACTTCTCAAACAAGTTACCCAGCGATTTGAGGTCTTCAAATTTGTCCAAGGTGAACGTATGATTCCTCTACCAAACTATTCTCACATCTTCTTCACATTTATTGTCAATGGACCTGATTTTCTCAAATCTAAAGACATAACTTCTTTTCTTCTTCCTTTGGGATTGTTTTGCCTCCAACTCTATCGAAAGAGCAGCATGATCAGAGTTACTCCTGTAAATATGTTTAACAATAATGGGAGAGAATCTATTGATGAATTCAGAATTCCCCCATAATCTGTCAAGCCTACACTGAATATTATCTGGTTCCTCACTCCCATTAGTCCAAGTAAAAGGGTGCCCTATGAAACCCACATCTAACAAGCCACAATGATCGATAGTTTGTCTACCCCAACTCATCTGATGGAAAGCCATAGCAATGCCTCCTAGCTTTTCCTCTCCACTAATTACATCATTAAAATCACCGAAACAACACCACTTACCAGAGGTAGGCTTCAAACTGCGAAGAAAATGCCAAGTATGACGTTTCATACCCTCTTCAGGATATCCATACACGACAGAGAATTGAACCTCAGAATCATCTTCATCATCAAGGAAAAAACCATTAAAATGGTTTTTGGACAAAGAATCAACAGTAAGGTCAACCACATCCCTCTACATCAGAAATAGACCACCAGCATGATCTCTACCTTCACCACTACAATTGAATCCCAAGCCATGGTTGAAACCACACTTGAGCTTGATATTCTGCATCTCCGACTCCTTCAATTTGTCTCCATCAAGAAGACCACACTGGGATTTTCAATTTTTGTGAGCCTTTCCAAGGCTCGAACTATAACAGGATTCCCTAACCCCCTACAGTTCCAAATCAGGATTTTCATTAGGCTAGGCAGTGTTGGGCCTCTAACACCACCTCTGGCAACTTGATATTTGTGTCTCCCTCCTTCTCTTGCATTCTCTTCTTATCTTTTCTCTCAATGTCCATAGAGGTACCATTGGTAACTCTGACTTCCATGAGTTGTCTCTTATTTAGCTCAGCTTCCACCTTCTTTGCATTATTTATAATCTTCCCTTTAGTTCCTTTTTGTCGTTTCCATTTTGGGGGCACCTTTTTGTTCATGTCTGGACCCTCTTTGCCCAAATCTTTTCTATTCGAAATAACCACCACGACAAGAGATTCCTCCACACTCTCAAGCTCCTTACTACCACTCCCTCCTACCATCCCCTCTTTCACCACCCCCCTTTCTTCTTGGATCAACTGCTTTTGCCTCTTATCTTTCACAAAGGACTCACCTATTCCTTGGTTAGTAACACTGAATTTTATGTTGCCTGAAGACTTGAATAAATTCCTACTGACACTCCCCGAACTTGGTTCTTTTCTCCCTTCATCCACATTTCTTGGTAACAGAGAGGCCCTCAACCAAGGCCGAAAAGAAAGATCTTGTTCTTCGATTTCCTCAAAACCTTCCACTCCTCCCTCCCCGATTTCCTTACAATCTTTGAGTTGATGGCCAATCTTATCGCAAATAAAGCAGAAAGTTGGTAGCCGCTCATATTTGAAGAACACTTTCAAACACTTGTCTTGATATTTCAGAACCGTACCCCTCTTGAGGGGTTTCCTCAAGTCTACTTTAACTTTGATCCTCAGAAATTTTCCAAACCTGTTAGCTTTCTTTTGGTCTGTCTCCATGAATTCCCCAACAATATTTCCCAATTGTTTAGTCATTATCTCAGATCTAAGCTTCAAAGGTAGATCATAGACTCTGGTCCAAAAAGGGCTAAAATGCATCTCCAGCTCTGGTGGCTGTTCTTCACCTGAGACCTTCTCAAGGATAAGAAGATTCCTATCGAAGTTTCATGGGCCTCCTTTTAACACCCATTCAGCATCCTTCTTGGTGGAGAACCGAAAGAGAAAAAGGTTCTTCCCAAGGTCCTGGGCTTCTACGTTGTTCTTTAATCTCCACGCCTGAATCATCGTCGTTTTAAACGCTCTAGCGTTGAAGGGACTAAACGTCCAAAGTTTTCCAACCAACGTCCGGTGAAAAACTTCCTCTCCTATTTTTGCTTCTTCCTCAACAGTGATACCCATCTCCTCTTCTTCCGACAACAAGACATTTTTTCAACACTCCATACTGAGAACCAACCACTCTTCATAAATGAAGATCACCACAACAAAGGGAAAAAACCCTAGAAAGAAACCAAACTCAGGGAGAGATTTGAGAGAAAAAAGGAAAAAATCCTAAAGGGGACAAGAACCCTAAGGTAAAGTGGGTGGACACGATAAGTTAAAGAGAGATGATGTAACTTCTCTCTAGAACACATGAGAATTTTTTATATGTCTATTTGTTAAGACTTTACATTCTCTATACTTGATAGATTTTTCTTTTGTTTTTCTTTAAGAAGTTATATTTCCTTGATAAGAGTTTCATTTATAATTTCAAGAGAGAAACAGTTTTTATAGAGATGAAAACAATATTTTTAAATTTAATTTATTCATCACATAACTCTTTATCGATGGAAAAGAGTTCATTATAGGTAAATTAAGTTTCAAAATTATTTATCCCATTTTCTTTATGGTTTCTCATGAGAAATATGTTAACTTCTTCTTTTTTGGATTCATCAAAGGAGAATATGTCGTTTTCCTTCCTTGCAATGTAAGTTTTTTTTTTTTGTGATTTTTTATATCTTTTTAGGTTTCTTTTAATTTAGTGGACAATTTAGTCTTATTTGATCTCTCTTTCCACACTAGATACTTGTTTAGACCCCTAATCTTGTGAATTCTATTTAAGTCATATGTCCATTTGACATCAACTTATCTCTTACATGACCTGATATAACATACGCAGGAAATATGGTGAAGATGTGTGATGAGTCAATTTATGCATAATATGAGTAAAGATCACATGGATGCAATAACTCAAACCATGTTGTACTTGAAATCTTCACATGTAAAAGGCATGATGTATCACAATGAATAATCATGTACATGAAGGCTATACTGACGCATACTGGATAGGAGATATCAACAATAGGAAAACCCCCTCAGGTTATTTTATCTTTATCCAATGCTAAAGCAGAGTTTCGAGGAATGGCTACGAGTCTTTTTGAGCTGCTATGTTTTAGAAGACCATTGATTGAAATTGACTTCTTTAATCCTAATTGTGCGATGAACCTCTTTTGTAATAACAAATCTACAACAAAAAATTCCCATAACTCAATTCAATATGATCAGACAAAACATGTGGAAGTAGATCGACACTTCATCAAATAAATTTTGAAGATAAAGATAGTTCAATTTTTATTTATTAAATGTGAAAATCAATTGACAGATATACGCACAAAAGTTATATGTAGCATAGAATTCTACAATTCACTTGATAAGTTGGTCATTCGAAATCCTCTATGCACCAACTTAAGGAAGAGTGTTTATGTGAATTGTCCATTACAAAATTGTAGGAATAATTTTAAGAGGAATAGTTATTAATTATTCTGAATGTGGCAACAAATAGAAATAATGTTAATATCTTATTCCTCTCTTGTAAAAGATACCGGAAAAGAAATAAAATGATACCACAATAAAATTTAACAATAAGTAGCAATGTCAATTTTTACATTAATGGTGTCGACGTATCCTTGTCTGTGTTCTGTCAAGTGTTAGTGTTTCATTTGTGTTGATTCTCATTGACTTGAGTGTCTAACTTGTAACACCTTTCATAATTTTCGAGATTATATACATTTCTTCAATTGTTATGAATGAAATGACATGGTATTATTTGAGTAAAAAAATTAATAAATTTTATTGCATAACCAAATAGTTAGGTAAAAACAACAGCAAAAAGTTACCAACACTAATCCAACATACATATATGACTATTATATATCAAGATGTATAAATTGCTGAGCCTTTCTTGAGTTGCAAGTTAGCAAGAAACTTGTAAGTACCCAAAATTCTTCAGTGCTAATGCGAAAAACAGCAGTATCTATAATTTTTCCTCTTGTTTAATTTTTTCGGTACATCTGAAGAGATACCTTGAGTTACAAGGTTGTTTATTTTTTTCTGCCTGCTTGATTTTATTGGATCATCTGAAGACATATCTGATCCTGTATATTCCTTGTTATCGCATAAAATCTGGTCCAGTGTTGTCTCAGTTTTCAACAAATATGAATCAACCTGGCTCGCTTCATTCGGTCTCGAGAGATTTTGATTCGGCAAAGCCAGTACTACTTTGTTATAATTTACTTCCTTTAAGATTGGATCCGTTCCGGTGTGCCTGAAGAAACCAAAAGTAAATAAGAGTTTCAAACAAATATATTGTAATAAACTACTTTCTGATCTTCCGAGTTGGTTTTGTTGGTTTTATGAAGTAGAGTTCAACTCACCTGAGGTTTTGGATTTCATAGAGGTCATCTGAGCTTTCGCGTGGTATACCGATATCATTTTTCGCCGATGGTTGAAAAAGTTTTGCAGAATATTGATCAACTTCATCTCCCTTTACTTTGCAGGCGGCTGCTTCATTAGCAAAGGTAAAAGAGAATCTGCGCGAAGGAAATTCGTATTTCCGAACGGCTGAAATCGCCCTTTCTAACGTTTCTAAAGCCTGTTTTACATTTGAATTGATATATACATTGCTCTTTCTTTTCTGTACATCTCTTGTATCATCATACTCAATTGAAATGTCATGTTCTTTATTCGTATTGTTTTCGATTTGTACAATCTCGTCAATATTTGCTTCCACAATATTCTCTTCACTATCTGCGTCGACAATCTCACAATTCGTATTGCCTTTTAGTACAAAAGACGAGCCACCTTCCTCCATTGGAACTTCATGTAGTTTGTTGATATCTTTCTCTCTTTGTACACTCTCTTCGCTACCAGCATCTAAAATCTCGCTGTTGTAACTATTTTCATTTTGGTTGCTTCTTCTACCCTCCCGAGATGTACCATTTTCACTATCTTGCTTACTTTGAATAAGTTCTTCAGCGGGAAGAATGCTCGCTACTTGCTTACGCTCCTCCTCGCCCTTAAAGTTTGATTCACGGGTATTGTATAGAGCTTCGCGAATTCTAACATACAATGAATCTGTCAAGGCCTTGCTGAATTCTCTGTCATTGTTCATCATAGAGGCCACAGCCTATAACAATATCGAGGGATGGTTAATTTCAGAAGATGATCAAAGAGAACATACAAAATAACAATGCAATGTTTTGTACAACCTTCTGATAAAGTCTGAAACCGCTGCCGATAAGTTGCCTTGAAATGAAATTTACAAGGGAAGGAGGCATAAAATCCACCTTGATATCCAAATTCGCTATGGTCCTACGAAATTCGGCAAAAAAAAATTCAAGTACATTAGAAGAATAATTATCATAACTTTCAATAGTACAAAAATATTACCTTTAGGTAAAGCATCACATTTGCAAAATCTATGATCAAAACAAAAAATATGAAATCTTTTCAAGCTACTACTAATGTTTGAGTACTCACTTAAAACTCACCGAAAATAACTTCTTTCAGAAGTCACTTTTTGTATAACATAACCTCCCACCAAATCAATTCTCACAACACCATTTGCTTCTGGAATCACATCTTTGTTGAAACCATCAATAGTGTCATTAATTTTCTCTGGCTCCGCGACCTGAAAGAAAATCGAGCACAAATGTCTTAAAACATAAAGATCATATATAGTTCATAATTAGCTTTCTTTAGGAAAAGAAACAAAAGAAAAAAGTATCGAGATGAGTACCGATTTCAAAAGAACAACTATCAAGTCATCTTGAAAGTACTCAAAGAGATAATAATGAACTATAGCCTCCCTTGTAGACAGTGGCCATGGGGGCTTCATCCTTTCTTACAAAATAGAGCAAATATAAGCATTCAAAAGTGAAGGTTTTTTTAACATGGTGAGCAATATTAAAAAGTGTTATGTTCTTCAACTGATGCTCGCAAGACGAACCTTACTAGCGCAATTTGTTCACCAGTTTGCACCTTCTGTAAACAATCAGATGCAGTAACTTTGAAAGTCGGAATCGTAAACTGAGGCCACCTAAGAAGTATCATTGAAAATTTTACATGTTAATGTTCAATGTCATGTCATTATGATTTATGAGACAAAAATGCAGAAAATTGAACGCACGTAATCTGCACGATGATTCTCACCATTTCTTATAAAGGGTTGATTCCCATGAGAGGCATAGAGCTGTAAGAAACAAAATCAATCATTAAAATTTCACATGTTAAAATCTAAAATACGGTCTTTTCACTCGACGGATTCAATGTGACTCACAGACATCAACAGGTCCATCTACATAGCCTTCAACCAGCAATGTATGATAGGGAGTTCCCTCTGGTCCTACGCGATACATAACGCGAAACTCCTCATTATCCTGTTTCAACTGTCGAAAGAAGAAAAGTTATAACGAAAACATAACAATCCACAACTAGAGAGAGTGCTACTAGTACTAGATAACCTACTTTCCAATCAGTGTCTGATGGACTAGACCCTCCATTTTCATCTGCAGAAGCACTCCTCACCATATCAAGAAAATTCGATAACTCAGCAGTCTTAATTTCCAGCTTCTCCGCATAACCTGCACACAAAAAAAAAGCGATAAACTCAAGCACCTAAATCAATCAACAATTCAACTAAGCTCAAAGAAAACAGTAGAATGCTACAATTTAACTTAACTACCTTCCAATTCGATCTCTGATTGCGAATCACGACGAAC